GGGGGCCTGCTGCGGGCGCCTGTTGGGGACCGCGGGAGGGGAGCAAGCGCTGGGTTCTTGCTCCTGCCGCCGCGCCCTCCTCCTTCCCCCTCTCCATCCTCCCCCTCTCCCCAATCTTTCCCTCCTCTCCAGCTTAGCTTTCACGGCATGGCGATGTAGGATTTGGGGAGGGGGCGTTTCCACCGCCCGCCTCTCCCAGAACAAAGTTGGGTTACCGAATTGAAATCCCACTCAAGGTGGCCGCGATGCGAGGCATGGGTGGGAGCGACTGGAAGAGAAGGTCTCCTTCGCGTGCCCCCCCCCCGCAAACTAATTTATGCAGTAGCAATACAGCTTGCTCACTTTAATGCCAGTAGCTCACAAAGTTGAATTTTTGCTCACAAGACTGTACAGCCACCCTGGACTAGAGTTTGGTGTCGTGCACGGACTCTAATCTGGGAGAACCGGGTTTGATTCCCCACTCCTCCACATGCAGCTGCTGGTGTGACCTTGGGTCAGTCACAAGTTCTCTCAGAGCTGTTCTGTCAAGAGCAGTTCTCGAAAGAGCTCTCTCGGCCCCACCTACCTCCCAGGGTGTCTGTTGTGGGGAGGGGAAGGGAAAGGAGATAGTGAGCCGCTCTGAGACTCCAAGCAAAGGGCAGGGTATAAATCCAATCTCCTCTTAAGAACATAAGAACATAAGAGATGCCAATGTTGGATCAGGCCAAAGGCCCATCCAGTCCAACACTCTGTATCCCACAGTGGCCAGAAATACCAGTGCCATCAGGAGGTCCACCAGTGGGGCCAGGACATTAGAAGCCCTCCCACTGTTGACCCCCCCAAGCACCAAGATGACAGAGCATCACTTGCCCCAGAGTCCCTATCTATACCTTGTGGCTAATAGCCACTGATGGACCTCTGCTCCATATGCTTATCTAATTCCCTTTTGAAGCCGTTCATGCTTGTAGCCGCCACCACTTCCTGTGGCAGTGAATTCCAAGTGTTAATCACTCTTTGGGTGAAGAAGTACTTCCTTTTATCCGTTCTAACCCGACCGCTCAGCAATTTCATGGAGTGCCCACGGACCAACCCGGCTTAGTTTTTGACATCTGGAGAGATTGGGCTAGCCTGGGCCGTCCACGTCACGGCTCCACCCACACTAGCACCTATTAACCAAACTGAAGCGGGTCATAAATAACCAAAAACCAAATAACCAAAACATG